CACAATGGGGATAGTTCATTGATTAAATCATACAACCTTTCAGGTTTTTAACCACTAGGCTATGCCACCCCTGAAACAGATCAGAACGGTTTGTGTAAAGCCCTCCAACATCAGAGCAGGGATGAGAGAAGGTGAGATCGGATTAGATGTCCAACACACACTGAACGAGATTAACATCGCTTTGAACCCTGTGATGTAACATGATTGACCTTTCTGCCATAATGTACAAAGGACGTGGCTGCTTAACAATCACATACTGTGCGATATACAACTTATTAAGGAGGTCATTTTGAGAATCCAGTAATTAAAGCTGAAGTGTGTACATTTTCTGATGCCAGAATACAGATGGCAATATGCAGAGGAAAATTATCTATTTTTTTTTATAAATTATATAAAAAAATGTTAATTTTCCTTTAAAAAAAAAGTCTTCAAAAAATTGGATCTGTGGCACTTTCAAAACATTGAAATAATTGGGCATCTCAACTCAGCAACACTATTTCAAGCAATGGAGTGATTTGGGGGGCGGCACTATCTGTTTGACTGACCAATGGCAGAGAGGGGGAGTGTTCTGGAAACTTGTTTAAAAAGAAAATTACGGACTTCAGGTATAAAGACTTTTTTAATCAGTTGACATTTCTGTATACAGATGGTTTGAAAAAGTTATTTTAAAAAACGGCCATAATTCATGAGGAGTGTTATTATTGTATTATTAAAAGTCATTTTTGTTAATTGAAATTTAAGTATTAGACGAAAAAACTTTAAGTGAAAATTAGAAATGTTGCCTTGGCAACTAACCGAAAAAATAAATAAAATAAGTTGAAGTATTATAATTACGAAAACAAAAAATTAAAATAAAGCAAAACATAAATAATTAAAAACAAATAACAATGAAAAAGCACATACAATGACTAAAACTAAAACTTACATGAAAACTTCAATTTAAAAAATGTTCACAAAAATTAGAAATGTCACCTTGGAAACTGAAATAAAAAGTTAAAGTTGAAGTACTGAAACTACTTAAACATAAATAAAAATAAAGCAAAACAAATAATTTAAACAAAAACTAATAAAAATCTCAAAGCATGTAACAATATGACTAAAACTTCATTTAAAAAAATTTAAATTAAAATGAGAAATGTCTTAAAAAAAGTTAAAGTTGAAGTACTGAAATTACTTAAACATAAATAAAAATAAAGCAAACAAAAACTAATAAAAATCACAAAAGCATGTAAAAATATGACTAAAACAAACTAAAATTTACATGAAAACTTAAACTTAAAAAACAAATGAAAATTAGAAATGTTGCCTTGGAAACTAACTCAAATCAAATAAGTTTAAGTACTAAAATTAAACTAAAATAGAAATAAAAAATTAAGCAAAACAGTAATAATTTAAACAAAAATGAATACAGTATTGCTACTAAAATAACACTCTTTATGAACAGCCCAAAGGCATCGTCTTTTTAAAAATAAATTAATTCGGTGCTAGCTACTTCATAGCATTCTTAGACGGCCATGCTTCAATTCTGCAGGT